AAAGGATTCTTGGGGCTCATTCCTTTCTCCAGTCCCACTTCTAACATTGAACCTCCACCTTTGAATCACTGGACCCGTGACAGACTCCAAAATCAAGAGGATTTTCCCTTTGTCTGAGGTGCTTGATGCTGCTACAGCTGTCACAAGTATTGATCTGTGACCTCTTCAAAATGAACGAAGGAATTCCGATGGCTGGTCTCTGTGGTTCTTCCCCACCAGGGATATTCAAAGGTGCCCTTACTCTGGATACATTTGTCCAAGTGTTGGCAACCAGGGATGCTTTTCCAGAGCCTTGCACCTTTGGACGTGCCAGGAGCTTGGTGGAGAGGACTGGGAAAAATGTCAGTAGAGAATGTCAAAGTAGCAAAACTCAACTCGGAATGAAAGCTAAGGAATGCAGGTGGGTCTAAAGCAACGACTTAAACATTTCAGGAGTCCGAGCTGTTCTTATATGAACCGGTAGACTATTCCAGAGATTAGGACCAGCCACTGTGAAGGCTCGGTTACCTTTATGTGTTAACCTGGATCTCAGAACATTGAGTAACATCTGATAGGACGACCTCAGTACTTTGGCAGGAGTGCGGACGTGTAAAAGCTCTGATAAATAAGGCGCCAACCCATTCAAAATCTTAAAAACAAGCAATAAAATCTTAAAATCAATCCTGAAACGGACAGGAAGCCAGTGGAGCAAGGCTAAAACTGGGTTAATGTGCTCACGCTTTTTAGTCCCAGTTAGGAGCCGAGCTGCTGCATTCTGGACTAACTGTAAGCGATGAAGAGACGACTGATCCAATCCAACATATAAAGAATTACAGTAGTGTAGTCTAGACCTAATAAAAGCATGGATTACTCTTTCAAAATCCTTGCGCAGCAGGTAGGGTTATAACAGTAAAAAGGGCTTGTAAAGTAGGGCTTGATGTAACACACATGATTTAAAACTTTCCACACATTCCAGCTTGATGAAACTTATGTATTTACTAGTTGCCATATCAACACTGTATAGAGAGAAAAAATTGCCAAAATTTTAAAATCTGTGAAAGATATCACTGAATATTTATTTAACCATTGCAAAAGAATGCGGATCTAACCAGCAGAAGACACTAGCCGGGTTTAAATCCCAGTTGTGCAGGCGGGGCATGTTGTCACACTGTGTTACAATGTGCCCCTATCAGAACTATTCTATTCTATACTTTTATTAATTCTATTGAGAAACCATGAGAAAAAGGTGAATAAAGACTGAGAGTCAAAGTTCAGAAATTATTAATTATGTTTTGTACTATGCTGTATACCTGTTTTGTGATGTGATTGTTGTCCAACTCAAAAATTACTTTATTTTTCTTTATTAAAAAATTCCATTTTTTATATGAAAAAGATAATAATTGTATTTTATTTACAAAATATTTTACTTTGTCTTGTATTTTTTTTTTTATTATATCAGATAATATTTTAAGCTGTTATATAGTCATGTTAGAATGTCCGCCTCACATGTTACTACACCTACTGTATTGGGCATGTTGTCACATTTTAAGTATACACTGTATTAATGAAACAAAATACAGTATAACGTATAACGTTTGTTGCACAGTTGACACGACCAGAAAGTTTGTTTTTCTGAGTTTTACTGACATATAGCCTGACAACATTTCATCTGACCACAGATACTGAATCAGGACAACGTGTTTCTCTCAGCATCTGACATAAGTGTCAAAAGCTTTCATAAACATCTATCAAATTGAACATCTGGCATTGTTTCTTCTTTGACTGCAAACTACGAGACCCACTCAAAACGCTCTTGCAACCAATCAGTTGAAAAACACTTGACGTAGGCTACTGTTCGTGGTTCGCTGTTGTTCTGTTTTTCTTACCAAGAAAAAAAGAGACAGAAACAGCATTTGTGAGCAGCGGGGCCACCCACCAGCTCGGCCCCCGACTGAAACTTTTTCCACACTGTTGGAAGCGTATGGGCTCTCTCCAGTGTGAATTGATTTTATAGTTTCCGCGTATGGGCTCTCTCCAGTGTGAATTGACTTTATAGTTTCCTTGTGTGGCACCGAAGGGGTGGTTTTCGTTATTTTGGACTCAATTATAATTATAAAGAAGGTGGATCAGGATTTCCTACAGATGACTGGACACCTGACCCTTCGTAACACCGACTACACCACCTTGGGAATTTCACCCAGGGAAATAATGGTCCAATAAGGACACACAGGTTCGTTCCCACAAGGATGCAGCGGAGAAGTGAATATAAATAAAAGAACAATAATACTTTATTTATAAATAGAATAAAAACTCAGCACACGAGGAATGGATATGGCTTCAAAATCAAAACAAAACTAAATGAAAATAAACGAACCAATAAGACAAATCAAAGGTAACATGTCAGGGGCCCGTTTCAGAAAGGAGGTTAAGTGAAAACTCTGAGTAGGTTAACCCTGAAATGAGGGAAACTCTGGGTTTTCCGTTTCAGAATGGGAGGTATGTCAAACCTGAGAAAGCGGAGTAAGTCAAGCCCGTTTCTGAAAGAGAGGTAACTTATACTCAGAGTCAGTTACCATGGTAACTTACTCTGTGAACCTAACCTGGTCAGGAGCAGGTTTTCTTCGGTAAACCCAGAGTTTCTTGCGGTCTCCTCCCCTTTTTTAAAGAGGAAGCAGTGTTTAAACCAACAATAATACTACAATTTATTTAAACATTATTTAAGGAATATATATTGTTTGTCCATGGTTTAATTTACTAAATCTGTTTTGCAGCACTTTGCCAAAAAATAAAAGGATTTAAACGTTTGCTAAACTTCTATTTGATTACCACCGTTTTTGAAAATATATTTGTATTAAATCATAAAATTAAAAAAAAATCTGAATAAAAAACATTTCATAGAACTCAATTATTTTTGAACATTTTAATAAGTTATTAATGATAAAAAAATAAGTTGTTAATCTAATTCATAATCAATTATTGAAATTAGTTGATTAGATGTGTTTTATTGAACAAATGTTTAATTTATTTAACTGTCATTTTAACTGATGATAATAATAACCGTAATTTAATAATGCAGTTTATATATTTAATAATTGTTTAATACCATAAACCGTGATATTTTCTGTGAAACTCTCAAACAACCCTATACACGGGAGAGTCCCCCACCCCACACCCGCTGTTAAACAAGTAACTCAGCAACTTTTACTCTGAGTACATTTTAAATGAGCTACTTTTTACTTTTACTTGAGTAGATTTTTAGACCGGTACTTTTATTTGTAGCTACTTAAGTACAATTTTATCAAAGTAATAGTATTTTTACTTGAGTAACATATTGTATTACTCTTTCCAAGTCCGTTAGTTCTAAACAAATTCTACAAATTCAGTGGCATTACACACTGAAGTGTGTCCCTACTATTTATGAAGTTTAGGCCTACTATTTGTCATAATTTCTGGTGTATTGAGTAGGCTACTTACAACTGCATGGGGTTCTGTTGATACAGGAGGCTCCAAAAGACAGATATTACCATCAGAATCTGTTGGGACCAACGAAAAACCCAACCCAAAGTAAAATAAATGGAAATATCAAAAATACCCTATATAAAAAATAACACATATGTAGTAGACCTCTTAGCTCTTACATTTATGAAGGCTTGGATCTTCGGGAGTGACTGACTCTGATGAAGGAATTCCCTCAGCCAGAAATGCTGCTGCACTGCTAGACACTGGATGCTATTTAGTCATTTAATATGTCAAATATTTGTAAAGTCAGGTAGCCTACACCCATGATATGCTCAAGCCTTACCTGAGAATACCATGAAAATTAAAATTAGGTTGAATAACATAGGCTACTGTTCTTCCAGTTTCACCTCTGATATTATAACAGTTGGGTAAGTTACTCTAAAATAGTTATTAATTACTAACTACAAATGACATCTTCAACAGTGTAATTAGATTCATGTAATAATTACTATCTTTAGAAAGTATTGGTCTACTAATTACTAATTACTAAATCCCATATCAACCTCAACCACTTGAACAATACAAGAAGAGACAAGAAACTGCACTTGTAATGCTTTCAAATGAACAATATACAATTGCATGAATTATTCTTGAATTGACCAAAGTGTGTAGAGGCAGAAGGTTGCATTAAAAATATGCCTTTTAAAAATGTATGTTAAATCCACTATTGTTTTATACAGAATTGTTCTATAGTCTATGCAGTATTTAATGCAATTACATCAGATTTTATTTTAAATTAAAGAAGAATTAAGAGTAATCCCTTTAATTAAATTACAATATTTAGATTACTTGGAAATTAATTACACCCAACACTGTATAACAGTAATTCCTCTTTTTGTCTGGCACTGTTGCCATGGTGACTCGTAATATCTGTGCTCCATTGATAATGGCTTTTTATAGTTGTGGTGCACGCGCTTAACTCAGAGTCAGTCAACTTAAAGTGATGATACACAGGGCAACCATTTGAGCAATGTTGCTGGGCAATCTTGCCGAACGATTGTTGCTTGGGCTTTTTCCCTTTGAAAATGGGGAATACATTTCTATCTGGATAATTTAGGTCAGTCGTGGGCCCTGTGTCTCATCTGGTTGCCCGTTGACGGCAACATTGCTCAAAAAGTTGCCCTGTGTATCATCACCTTTAGAGTTGATTGAAGCAACTAATTTCAGCTGTTCTGTAACCGAAAACTCAGAGTTTCCCATCTCATAGTAAGTCAACTCAGAGTTCAAGTTTTAACTCAGAGTTGGTTGAACCTCCTTATTGAAACAGGCCCCAGATGGCTGGGAGAAATAACAAACCTACCCAATTCCACAAACGCAGGAACATTTCTTATACACACTCACCACCTATAGCGCACCTGGATCTCATTAGGTGATTGCCAAATTAACTAGGCAGCTATGCCTGCTACACTTGTATATCGAAACTCTTTCCACACTGTTGGCATGTAAAATGATCTCGCCAGTGTGAATTTTCAAGTGCCTGTTAAGATTTCCTTTTTGAGTGAAACTTATTCTTCACAGTTGACAGGTAAAATGGCTCTCTTACGTGTGAATTCTCATGTGGTCATTAAGGATTCCTTTTCGGCTGAAACTCTTTCCACACTGTTGGCAGTTAAAAGGCTTCTCTCCAGTGTGAATTCTCATGTGCCTGTTAAGGCTTCCTTTTTGTTTGAAACTTAGTCCACACTGTTGGCAGGTAAATGGGCTCTCTCCAGTGTGAATTCGCATATGGACTTTAAGATTTCCTTGTAGATCAAAACTTTTTCCACACTGTTGGCACTTGTATGGCTTCTCCCCAGAATGAACTCTCATGTGACTGTTCAGGTGTCCTTTTTGAGTGAAACTTACTCCACATTGTTGGCAAGTGTAAGGGCTCTCTCCAGTGTGAATTCGCATGTGGACTTTAAGGTTTCCATGTAGATCAAAACTCTTTCCACACTGAGAGCATATGTAAGGCTTCTCCCCAGAATGAATTCTCATATGGACTTTAAGGTTTCCATCTTGATTGAAATTCTTTCCACACTGTTGGCATGTGAAAGGCTTCTCTCCAGTGTGAATTCTCATGTGGTTATTAAGGTTTCCTTTTTGTCTAAAACTTATTCCACACTGTTGGCAGGTGTAAGGGCTCTCTCCAGTGTGAATTCTCATATGGACTTTAAGGTTTCCTTGTAGATCAAAACTCTTTCCACACTGTTGACATGTGAAAGGCTTCTCTCCAGTGTGAATTCTCATGTGGACTTCAAGCTTTGCATGTTGATCGAAACTTATTCCACACTGTTGGCAGGTAAAATAACTTTCAGTCCCTGTCTTTTGAGTCCTTTTTTGTGAGGAAGTTTTTTCAGTCTGTGAGCAGCTAAAAGATGTCTGTGTCTCATACTGATCTTTTTCTTTTGCTTCATTCAGATCTTGACCCTCCTCTTTCAACGCCATCAAGTCTGAAAAAAGACAAAGGTTAATCTCAGTTTAATAGCTAGATCCTTTTATATACACCCGGGGTGCCAAACTCAAATATTGGAGGGGCCACAGGGGCATAGGGGCTTTTGCACCGGGTAGTTAACGGAACTTGGTTATAGGAACCCGCCACTAGGGCAGTCTCCCGAGAACTGAATTTTCCCCTGGGGCCATTTTCTTAGTTGCATTCCCATCGCCAATATGAACTCTGAAGTGACGTAAGCCGCCACTAACCTGCCGTACTGGTTGGTGCACAGGACTTTTATTTCGACGGCATGGCGGACTAATATTGACAGTGCGGAGAACACCAGAACCTGAATACACAGCGCTCCCATTCTCCTCCTTTGTTAGTTTACAATCTGTTTAACAGTCCTAATACTTTATTAGATAGAATTATTAAACATACAAATGGTATACAAAAATGTATTATAGAGTTTGACATGTGGTTGAAGCCCAATGTCGCTAACTGAGCAGAAATACATAATCATGTTTCATTTGGTCCCTTCAAAGTAGTGCCTGTTATGAATTCTAATGATGAATCATTCGTCTGGTGCAAAAGAACAGCGAATACTATTAACAAAACGAATAAGACAGCTTGGAGGCGCGGCATACACCATGCTGATCTGTGCTGTGACTCTCGTTCGGCTCAAGCTGAATTGAGCAGATGTATTCAGTTTTTAATTGTGGTGTCTGTTCTCTAACTGAACTAAGTTATTTTTATTACTAAAACCACGATGGGAGGCGGTGCCACGGTGGACAAGTGATGTAACTGGTGTGCGGCTGAACACTGTGCAACACCGGTAACACCGACTATCGCAGAAAGCCTACTCTGCAGGACAGTGGCCCTCCAGGAACTGAGTTTTGCAGCCCTGCTATACGTACTAAGCTACTTAAAGAATGTTACATTATCTCAGAACCTCTTCTCAATATTGTTCAAAAAATCTCAGTCGGCGGAGGTGCTGGGTGATCACTTGCGTTTTTTTTTTTTTTGTCACACCACAGCTCCAAAAATAGAAAAAATATTTATTAATGTTCTCACCACAGGGGACTAATTAAGAGCCATTAGGCTCGAAACATCTCCTGTGGTGAGAACATAAATAAATATTTTTCTATTTTTGGAGCTGTGGTGTGACAACTTTTCTCTTCTTTTTTACATTCACAATAACAACACTGTGTTTTTGTAAAATAAAGAAAACAAACAGGGAGCACTTTCTGCCGTCTTAGAACATGTCACAAAATGCTTAGCGAATACTTGCTATGCAGACCTGAGATTTGGCTTTAGCAAGCTTAAATAGTCTACTTTTAAATCAAGCAATTATTAAATTAATTTTAAAATGAATAAAAACAATTATTCTCTGATTATGTAATATGTATGAAACCAACTCTGTTTAGGGCAGTGTGCTCAATAAGGTGCCTTTGACCTTCATTATTATTATATGTTGTAAATATTTTTTTTTTAAATAAAACACACACACATATATACATACTGTATATATACATGCTACTCACATATTTTGTGCTAGATTCAGTGCAGTGAGAATCTAACCATTGCTATAATTATAAGCAACTGAAAAAGCCAATTGTCATGGCATATCAAAACTTGTCCAGGGCCCAATTTTTTTGCACATGTATACCCTCAGAATACCCTCTCTTGGATTTGTGGACAAGCATTTGCATGGTTTAACTCCTATCAGACTGCTACCAATTTGTAATATGAAGAGACATCAAACACAACCTTTGGCTCCACCAGACACCCTCGGCCTTTCGTCCCACCGGCTCCCCCTTGGTCAGTCATCACACCACCTCCACCACGGACTTGCGGATCTTCCTCCACCCCTACGGCTGCTCCTCTTTCCCTTCGGCTTCGCCTCGGTCCTCCATCACACCGGCATCGCCTCATTCCTCAGGTAATCTGGCTCCACCTCAGACGCTCGTCGCAGTGGCATCGCCTCAGCCTCCTGTGCCCTGGGATCCATCGGCTCTGCCTCCATCGTCCCCCAGTTGACGTCAGCCTCTACTCCACCTTGGCTCCTTACTCCGCCGTGGGCTGTTATCTCTCGGTCTGTGCCTTCGGATGTAGACCATCTTCGCTGCTGGGGTCTCATCTGTCTATCACCGCCCACAATCTCCATCCCTTTTCCGTCTCCTACGTCATCTCTTCACCATCTTCACGCCCTCCTCCTCCTCACCTAGACTTTCGGGAGGGGCGTTCTGTCACACTCACTCAGTGTTTGTTGCTCTTAGTTTCTGTTAACATGAACTTTCAGTTCTGCTTTCATCAGTCACATGTGTTCCTTGATTTTCCCGCCAGTCATCAGTTCCCACGGACACTCATCAGATCATCAAACCTGTTCGTCATCATCTCATTATCACTATGTGTTGTTCCTCATCCGTAACTCTGTTTGTCGGTTGTTGTTCGTGTATGCATTTTGTTTATTGATACCCTTTTGAACCTTCATCATCCTCATTTGGTAACAATTACATTCACCCTAGTTTTTTAGGAAGCCAAACTATTAAAATATAATCATTATTTTTATATTATTATTATTCCTATGACAGTAATAGCCATTTATTGTGAAACAATTGCACTGTAAAATAAATGAAATTTTATTGTAGGCTAAAGTGGGGAAATTATAATACTTTGTCCTAAATCTATATTATCAAGAGAAACCCTTGAGCTTTTATTTTGACAAAGACTGCATTTGAGCTTTACACCGCCGTCGGTGTGTGAATGAGTGAATGAATGGGTGAATGTGAGGCAATGTGTAAAGCGCTTTGGTGGCCATGGGTCTGTTGAAAGCGCTATATAAATGCAGTCCATTTTACCGGCAAAAAACTACCATTTCTGTAAAAACAGGTTTACAAACACGTCTCATTACAAATCTTGGAAATGTTGGAAATCGAAGTTACTTCCGAATTAAGTTCATTTGACAGATCCTTTGTCAAAGAAATGGTGCAAAACCATGTTACAGACCTTTTATGTTATCATAGGAAGATCTAAAATATTGTTGGTTTGTTATGAAACTGCCAGCACAGATTAGACTATGGTGGGCCACAGTCTAGCTAATTAATGGGAAACATTGTATTGCTTGGTTCAATCAATGTATATTTACAGCCGATTATGTTCAGGTATCTTTTTGTGTTAATATAGCGTTATTAAGGATGTCTGAGGCGACCAGCTCCATGTCGAATAAAAGTGCTTTAATTAGGACACTCTTCAAAAATATCACTCATTTCTGTAGAGCTGGACATTTTAATGAGGATGAAATGACTGAGTTCAGCTTTGAGAATGAAACCAACCTGTGTGTTCCTCAGTTTCTTCTTGCTTTACTCTGAATGTTTCTTCAATCTTCATGTCTTCAATCTCCTCTTTAATAAACGCCATCTTTAATATGAGAATAATAAACAGAAAATGAAAATAAATGTAGTTTCCAAAAGCTCAGTTTCTCCATCACTACTTGCCAGTGACTGAATTCATTCTTATGATGAACTGATTCACGAGCGAAATGAGATACACCTTTTCTCTTACTCATGTGTTTTCATTCTGTTACTCTGCTCAACATTAATTACAACATCCAAACGGGTTCTATAAGGTTTAACCTTAAATACTTACAACACAAACTTTTCTTCTGCAGAACCATAACAGATGCAGGAGTGCGACGCAGCCTAATGACATCACACCAGGAGACCAAAATACAAGTCCTGTTCACACGCTGCTGTTTACAATCGCAAAAGTGCACAGAAACTTACATAGAGAAAAATATATACACAAAATAAAAGAGAGGAGAGAAATTCAGAGGGGAATGTATTGGTGGAATAGTTATTTAAATACTTGTCCACTTATGTGCTGAAAATGTTATGAAACTACTCAAGTCTGTGAGACTTTGTCTAAAAAGTAAAACTGTATTGCTGGGTGAAGAAACCTTACCAGTTATAAATTAATAAAAAAATGCAAATAGTGACAAAAAAGAAAGAGTTATATATATATATATATATATAATATATATATATATATATATATATATATATATATGTGTGTGTGTGTGTGTGTGTGTGTGTGTGGTCTACATTTATTGACATTATTTGGGTCGCTTTTCCGATTTTAAAGCCATAAACTTACAAATATGATACAATGATAAAGTAGACATAAGCCATAAGAAAATAAATTTATTTGATGGTTATAGTCTCTCTGACTGGATAGTGTTATATCTTTGATTTAGATTTTTTTAACTGTCAATGTGAACTGTATGAACTTACCATTGTGTTATTAAATGTATTTCACCAGTACATTCAACTCAGAATTCTGTCATCTTTTTCTTCGTTTTTTCTTCTTCTTCAAAATCACTTTGGTGAACAGGACTTTTATTTTGGTCTGCTGGCGTGACGTCATAAGGCTGCGCCGCTCTCCTGCATCTGTTGTGATTCGGCTGAAGAAAGGTTTGGTTTAAGAATTGTGATGGTGTTTAATCCGATAGAAACCGTTTAATCGTCTTCAAAGTTTTACAAGGGCCGCCGATTTAATTATTTGTTATTAAATGTAACATTTCATCGCTTTATCTAACATTTATCAACGTTGTGTGAGCAAAGTAACAATAAGATTCATGAGTGACATTAAAAGGTGAGTCTCGTTTCGCTCCCATTCATTTGAACCAATTGACTTGCAACAAATGATTAAGTTATTCGAAGTGCTCTCCTGACAGCACACGTACATCACAGAGACGTCTATTTGATGTGTGGAAGACGTATTTTTTAGAGTGTTTGCTCATCTGCAATACCTCTAGGACGTTTCCTGTCAGATGTCAAATAGACGTTTAGAAGATGTCTTTAAGATGTAATGATTTAGAATGTATGTAAAACTGACATCTTAAAGATGTCTATCAGATGTTAGTAAACAGCAGATGCTTTCCAGATGAAGTGATCTTTAACAGACATATCTGGGCCATTCTATATTTCTATCTATCTACAAATCATTAAATAGCTACTTAAACTGTCTAAAATATATAGCGTCTATACAATTTGCATTCTTTTATTAGTTTTTAGTGTTAGTTTCAAGTGTTTTTTTTTTTGTCTAATCAGGGGCCGTATTCACAAAACATCTTAAGGCAAAAAGTAGCTCCTAACTTGGCGATTTAGGAGAAACTCTTAAAAATACCATAATGTGTTTTTCTCTAAGGAGTATTTCACAAAGCATTTTAGTGCTAAAACCAGCTCCTAAATCTGTGAAAAGTTAGGTGTAGTCTAGAGGATTCCTAAATCACTAAAACCAGATCACAAACAATCCTAATGGCTGTTGCTGGCAATCTGCCCAAAGACACTGTACACCTGGGGTTCTCAATTTTTTCATCACGCCCCCCTTTAAACCTTTTAAAAAACAAAATCCCAAACTTTCAGCCCAGGACCCCCAAAATAAAGGTGCTAGTGGCTCGGAGGTGGTTAAAGTATGCAAACGTTGCGTGAAACTGTGCACACGCACTAATAGGCCTATCCAAACACGAGCATCATTACAACACAAAAGAACACAACAGTCAAAACAACCATTATATTATTTTATAGTTATTTAATCATTACTTTCATTTAAATATTTACATCACCTAATGAGATGGGTCATGGGCGTCAGAAGCAAAAAAAAAAATATGGGTGTTTCATCCACCAGAATTGTTTTACTGGAGTAGCTTAGGGGTGTTCCCGAAGCCAAATACCTTATTACCCAGGGGGCAAAGGGGGTTTAACAGACATGGGCTGCTGTAAAAGGTTGTCATATAAAAATGAAATCTATGATGTCTGAGGACCACAACCTGGGTGGACAACCCGGTCAACAAGCTGCTGGAAACTTGTAATTAGGGTCAAAACAATGCTACCTCAAATTCTGCTTTAACTCCCCGGAATCACCCAAACATGCTGAAAAGGTTTAATTATATTCATGAATCCTGAGCCATATCTCCCTGATACTAGAAACAAACTGAGCACACCTTTCAAAAGAGAATGTAAGAGTTAACCCTTGTGCATTGTTCAAATTCACTACCCTTTCGTTATGTTCGTGGCTGAAAACTGCTGTAAAAATGTATCAGATAAATATTTTTTTCAATTTTTTTTCCATAAATCTATTAATCAACCTCAGTCCTGATCAAAACTACTAAATATATATTTTTTTTAAATCAAGATTTTAACTCTTTAATTGCCAAATTCATAAATGATGTCACTGATTTGGGGGGAAAAACACACAAAATGACTTATTTTCAATATAAAATGTGATTGTGGACTGGATTTTTTTTAACCTTTTATCACAGTCTTGGACATGGCTTTTAGCCCGACAGTGGAAACGTGGCTAATGCGGAAATAGCCTTGGGTGTTGAACATTTTCTTCATGAATGCAATACGTATTTTATTTATAGATTTTAATCTACGATAAAACAGCAAAAAATAAATCTTTAATAAATAAATAACGTCCGATTACCTGTGGCAGTTGTTTTCACGAGTTCACACTTACAAATGATCAAATAGACTTCTCAATACTCAGATGCTTCCTCGCTCCTCCAGCCTGTGACCCTGAAATCGATCGAGCTCAGCCATCTTGAAGGACAAGTATAAATCTCAATCCTCTAATTGCAAATTTATGCTTTACCTTTGCCGTTTAAATAAACCATATATGAAACATACATCAACGGGGAATCTTGCTTTATAGTTAAAATTTATGAATTTATTAAATAACTAAACTTTAACAACATACGGGCAGATTCTTTGAGCGCAGCTGATGACGCAGTGTGTGACGCTCGAGTGATCAAGAATATTCCAATATACAAAAATGAGCTTTCCTCCGTCCTCATTGTCCTAATTTTCCTTAGTCTTCCCTCGCATCCTACAGGAGCTGAGACGCGAGGAAAGGAAACGAGGAAACACAAATTCTCCCCCGTATCCCCGGACGAGAGTGAGGAACGGCTGGCGGAGGGATGCAGAAAACTGTCGAGGTAACTAGCGAGTCGGCTCTAGGCTGTGTGTATACACCTCCTCTAGAGATGATTAGAGAGACCGTTTGAACGTGCTCCTCCAGAACTTTGTTTATATAACATAATTTGTCGCTTGAATTCTGCAATCTCTTGAGATGTAAGCATGTAAGAGGCTGACAATTAGTTGAACATATACTAGTTTAATTAGTGACACTCAACTTACATTTAAAATCTTTATTTGAATATGGTGACATGATACCTCGTTTTAAAATATTCTCAAACGGAGAATTACAGAGTGATCAGGGGTTTATTTGAAAGACAGCAGACAGGACAGGATATAGTGAGGGAGAGGAGGTGAACAGGCCAAACAGTGGGCAGGGATGAGGCACAAAGACAGGCCGGCTGAGAGAGCGACCGCTGAACCCAACCCAGGATGACAGTAGGAGGGAGGGTAAACACAATGCCAGCAAGAGACTGGAGGAGAACAATAAGTGGGATCACACAGTACAAGGGGATCGCCTCTCACAATTACTGCACTGGTCTCTGCTTGGCTGATGGTGTAAGCGGCCTGGGAAGCTCAGCTTGGAGGACAAACTAGGGAAGACAAAAGACACAGCAAGCACAAGAGACGACGAGACTAGACAAGGTGAGACTAAAGTAAGCTCTGAGTAGAAACTACAGTACACTGTCAAACAAACTCATACAGAAACTATATAACGAACTGGCCAAACATGAGAGCAAGAGAACACGTATTTGGGAGCGGAGAACAAGAGGAACAGGTGAGCACACTCAGGCCACATCCACACGAAGCCAGAGCTTTCCCTGGTGTCTGATGTGTCCTTCAAAACAGGCCGAAGAAATTATCCTTCAAATTGAGATGGCTTGATGACGAGATATGCAGCCGTTTGAGAAACACCCTCTAGCACTGACAGAGACCTCTCCCCATCAGCCAATCACTAGCCGCGTTTCCACTGCCAGGCCAGGGCTAACAGCGAGCCGAGCCAGTGGCCTCGGGCCTCGAGCACCGGGCTTGCGTTTCCACTGCCGGGCCAGTTGCCCCGCAGCGCTGCCCTAAACCCCGCCCCTAACACGCCTTTCAAACGTCATACAACCCAACCCATTTCAGCGGGTATTATGATTTTTTTTTTTTTTTAAGTTAGGAAGATAGCATGTATATTAACTCACCGGCCGTGGCTGCAGCCTGCAATAGTGTCCAGATTGTCTCGCGAGTCGCCACTAACAGAGGGACGGTGACCCGGCACACCGTCCATCAAGTCGAACCATGGAATTTGGAAAGTTTCTTCTCTGAGCTCCGCTTTGTCCATTGTGCGTTTGAATCGCCTTGTACAATACTGCGCCAGCAACTTTTTTTTTTCCTGAACTTGAAGCGTTGCTCGCTGAATGCTTAGCTTAGAAAGTTCAGCATCAATGTATTTTATAATGTCTTCGTTTCTTCACACGCCGTCAAATTGACGTTGTACCCTTTCTTTCTTCTGCCCAAATGCTCAGAAAAGCTTTGGTATCTTCGACAGACCAGTACAGGCGATTCTCCATTTCGAGCAGCGATTATTTTGCGCGATATATAAAAGTGAAATGTGCATCTTGCTTCAGATCATAACGTTCCATAACACCGATAAACTCCGCCTTTTACCTTGAGCACGCCTCTAGCCCGAGCTGGCCCGCTTTGGCCCAAGGTATTCGACGGGCCAGAAATCCGCACCGAGTAAGCCCAGATCAAGCCCCGGAAGTGACAGTGGAAACGCGACTGGCTCTGGCACGCACTAGCACGGCTCGGCCCTGGCCCGGCAGTGGAAACGCGGCTACTGTGGTCATAGTTAGTAAGTGTGTTGACATCATCCACAGGGCTTAAAGTATTCCGGCCGGGGGCCGGATTTCCGGCTTGAGGGCAGGTCCGGCCTCCGGCGCAGGCAAAATTGATTAATCGGGCTGCAAATTACAGTCGGAGGCACTTTCGGCACGGACGCACTTGGAAAAAACGAGCGCGTCGCTTCCTCCATTATGAGCGCACACACCGCGCGGCTGCATTTGAAACTGGGAACTTGAATGCGGTTTAATATTTGAGTCAATTGATTTCACCTGCCAATCATATGAGAGGAGTGCAGCTCTAACTAACGTCACAAGCCTATCAGAAGCAGAACAGGGCGGGTCCTGGCAACAGTGTGATTGAGATCATACCTCACGTTAGCGTCGTCGGTGAAAGCATGGAGCGCAGAACTCCAGAAACAACATCAGGTGACTTTAATGTCATCATGGATGAAAAGAAAGAAAGGAGATGTGAGTTGGTTGATTTCGTAAATTAGCTCAGGTCAGGAGAATCAAATTTTCTGTCTACACCTTTTGATGTTAGCCTTACGTTGACTGAGCTAACATTAACATACACTGCTGCTAGGTAACTTCAGACTGTTAGTTAAATATTTAATGTAGAACATTCTGTGTCGCTTACTAAAAACAAAACATTGTGTGTAGGCCTACCATGAAAACGAGTCCACTTTAAACCGCTTCATTTTCTGTCAGCAATGTAACGTTATGACAAGTAGTGCTGTCAACGTTAACGTATGCGATTTTCTTCTTTTTTTTTGGTCAGCTTTAATGTTTTAAAATATTTAACACAATTAACGCTGCATTCGTTCTTTGTCATTCTTTAGCTAGGGTTATGATCACGCTCTTATTAGTTATTAATTTGTCCACCAAATGCTTTAAACCATTAATGTGCAACAATACAAAAGAGAACGCACTTCAGTAAATGTCCTCCTCACACACACACACACACACACACACACACGAGGCACAAAAAGTCGCGAACCAGTATCGAATTCTCTTTCGCGCTTGAACGAACAATAACACACACATTTATGCCAAAATGTCCGTTTTGTCTAGTATCCTCAATAATCAATCATTATTAACCTTAAATGAGTTAAAATCTTAAATGGAAGTGAAGAGTAGTGAGAGAATGAGACGCGTGAGATCCTGTCACCAGCTGTAGATCTTAAAGTGACAGTAGCCACTAATTCTGTCTGTCAGTAAAGTTAACCAAAGAACAAAGGGAACAGAGAAAACTACTAACTACTATTTGACTAAATAACGCTTGTAGCTTTAAAAAGGATTAATCTAATTTAATTTATAATTTATGCAGTGCGGACTATTTTATAACCCTAAAATTTTGGGGAAAGAATTTTCATCGAGACATCATTATATTAATATCAGTGATACTGGCCTTCATTAATAAAAAGATGCCATTAAGATACAGCCGTAATACTTGAAAATAAATGGATCCATTTGAAGATAAGTCCGTCTGTGCAGTCCACCACACACACAAAAAAGTTCAGGCTCAGGAATTTTTTTCACTTTAAGCCCTGCATCCATAACAATGAGGTCAACCCCGCCCTCACTCTTAGCCTTAAGACTTCTCTCTATTCCTTAGTAAAAGTTGGTCTCAGCAGCGTTTAAATAGAAAACCCTTAACTAAGTACTTGTACTGCCATTTAGGAGAACTCTTAGTGGTAAGATAAAATGTTTTATGAATACGGCCCTAGGTCATCTAAGTCCATTAACTCTCTCTCTGACTGACTCTCTTACCAGTGAACTGAACTACTGAACTAGATCTGATTGAGACGCTCTCAGAGATTTAGTTTAGAGTGTTTTTAGTCTAATCAGGTCATTTAAGTCCATTAACTCTCTCTCTGACTGACTCTCTTACCAGTGAACTGAACTACTGAATTAGAGCTGATTGAGACGCTCTCAGAGATTTAGTTTAGAGTGTTTTTAGTCTAATCAGATCATTTAAGTCCATTAACTCTCTCTCTGACTGACTCTCTTACCAGTGAACTGAACTACTGAACTAGATCTGATTGAGACGCTCTCAGAGATTTAGTTTAGAGTGTTTTTAGTCTAATCAGGTCATTTAAGTCCATTAACTCTCTCTCTGACTGACTCTCTTACCAGTGAACTGAACTACTGAACTAGATCTGATTGAGACGCTCTCAGAGATTTAGTTTAGAGTGTTTTTAGTCTAATCAGGTCATTTAAGTCCATTAACTCTCTCTCTGACTGACTCTCTTACCAGTGAACTAAACTACTGAACTAGATCTGATTGAGACGCACTCAGAGATTTAGTTTAGAGTGTTTTAGTCTAATCAGGTCATTTAAGTCCATTAACTCTCTCTCTGACTGACTCTCTTACCAGTGAACTGAACTACTGAACTAGATCTGATTGAGACGCACTCAGAGATTTAGTTTAGAGTGTTTTTAGTCTAATCAGATCATTTAAGTCCATTAACTCTCTCTCTCTGACTGACTCTCTTACCAGTGAACTGAACTACTGAACTAGATCTGATTGAGACGCTCTCAGAGATTTAGTTTAGAGTGTTTTTAGTCTAATCAGGTCATTTAAGTCCATTAACTCTCTCTCTCTGACTGACTCTCTTACCAGTGAACTGAACTACTGAACTAGATCTGATTGAGACGCTCTCAGAGATTTAGTTTAGAGTGTTTTTAGTCTAATCAGATCATTTAAGTCCATTAACTCTCTCTCTGACTGACTCTCTTACCAGTGAACTGAACTACTGAATTAGAGCTGATTGAGACGCTCTCAGAGATTTAGTTTAGAGTGTTTTTAGTCTAATCAGATCATTTAAGTCCATTAACTCTCTCTCTGACTGACTCTCTTACCAGTGAACTGAACTACTGAACTAGATCTGATTGAGACGCTCTCAGAGATTTAGTTTAGAGTGTTTTTAGTCTAATCAGATCATTTAAGTCCATTAACTCTCTCTCTGACTGACTCTCTTACCAGTGAACTGAACTACTGAACTAGATCTGATTGAGACGCACTCAGAGATTTAGTTTAGAGTGTTTTTAGTCTAATCAGATCATTTAAGTCCATTAACTCTCTCTCTCTGACTGACTCTCTTACCAGTGAACTGAACTACTGAACTAGATCTGATTGAGACACTCTCAGAGATTTAGTTTAGAGTGTTTTTAGTCTAATCAGGTCATTTAAGTCCATTAACTCTCTCTCTCTGACTGACTCTCTTACCAGTGAACTGAACTACTGAACTAGATCTGATTGAGACGCTCTCAGAGATTTAGTTTAGAGTGTTTTTAGTCTAATCAGGTCATTTAAGTCCATTAACTCTCTCTCTGACTGACTCTCTTACCAGTGAACTGAACTACTGAACTAGATCTGATTGAGACGCTCTCAGAGATTTAGTTTAGAGTGTTTTTAGTCTAATCAGGTCATTTAAGTCCATTAACTCTCTCTCTCTGACTGACTCTCTTACCAGTGAACTGAACTACTGAATTAGAGCTGATTGAGACTCACACATACCCCTTTTCCACCAATGCATTTTGAGAGCCGGTTCGGAGCCGGTGCCTGCGCGCGAACCGGTTCTTTGTGTTTCGACAGCCAAAGAACCGGTTCTCGGCCAGGAAAACTGGTTCCAAAGCGGCACCAACTCGTTGCTGGACTAGAACCGTTCTTTTACCACGTCATGCTTACGTCGGGGGCTGGGGGCGGGTTTAGATAACATATTTTCTGACATAATATAGGATCGCAAAGCCAGGAGAAACATTTGCAGAAACACGATGTAGTCCGCCATTGTAATTGTTATGCTTGAAGTTGGCGCAACCGTTTCTAGTTTTTTTAATCAATTTTTTTATTGAAAACGTTATGTAAACAAAGGAGAAAACAGTCACAATATAGAACAAATAAATGGAAAGAAAAAAAAGACACAAGACAGGAGTACATAACTAATCAGAAAAGATTACATATCAAAGGAAAAGATTAAAAGACTTACATATTTCAATTGTTTTTAAAGCCTTCTTGGTTCACGAGTTAGAGATAATCCCAAAGTAATGTTGTACTTGCAAGCGTTTCTAGCTAAGATGTATGGCGACGTACACAGTGACGTAACGACGTCGTTCGCTGGGCGCTCTAGTCAGTGGAAAAACAAACAGGTTCTGAGAAGGTTCGCAAGTTGAACCAACTCCGAACCAACTTTGAACCAGCACCAGTTCCGAACCAGTTCTTTTTTGGTGGAAAAGGGGTAACAGAGATTTAGTTTTGGGTGTTTTTCTTTCTGTTAATTATTCTCATCTTAAACAGGACAGTGTCCAAACACACAGGAAAACTGCTGATGAAGCGACTGAGATCCATGTGACACACTATGATAAAGATGGCGTTTTTTAAAGAGGAGAGTGAAGACGTAAAGATTGAAGAAACATTCAAAGTAAAACATGAAGAGACTGAGGAACAAACAAAGATGCCATTTATTAAAGAGGAGAGTGAAGACGTGAAGATTCAAGAAGCATTCAGCGTGAAACAAGAAGAAACTGAGGAACAAACAGGTTGGTTTCATTCTCACAGCTGAACTCAGTAGTCCAGCTCTTCAGAAATTAATATTTCAGACACATTTCAAATAACTGGAAAATGTGCCCCCTCTAAATTTTGGGGAATTGTAATGTAAACTTTGTCTAAGTTTCACCCTGCTGTGGGGAACAAGATTGGGGGGAAAAGTTGATAAAATAGCTAGCCCTATTCGCTATGGAAAACGCAAAGTTAGTGAGGAGGACATTGTTGCTAATTTATCATCCATGCTGTTTTCAAGATAAACTTTTAAAGAAAATCTGAAAAAGAAAGACCTACATCAGAGCTTAATTTTGTGTAGAAAGCCAAAGCTTTTTAAAGCATTTCAACCCCAGAAATGACAAGCGATACCCCTGAATGGTAGCATCAACCAAGAAGCTAAAGCTTTACAGCTGTTAATTAAAATACATGACTGGTTCAATTCTGGCCGCCGCTGCCAAAGTTTTAAACACGTTAAGCAAAAACAATCATTTTGCAGAATTGCATATCAACCTGTAAATGTATTAACTCCTTGACCATTATGCACATTTGCTGTAATTCTGCATAATAGTTTTTTCCCCCCAAATAATACGTTTATTACGGTCTGTTACATAGATTTAATCAGCTGCTGTGCCAGTCTAATGATAGTATTTATTATCAACATTGGTTCCAAAAATGCCACAATCGCTGTTAACTGTCTATGATGCAGAATTGTCTGTCACTAATTTACTTTGGTCTGAGCGCTGTCATGATGTGTCGGCTTACATTCAACTTTGTTGGTTTTGTATGCCAGTTGAAATGCACACACCGATTGTGTGATGATGAAATTATTTGTATTAAGGATTTACAGTTTATTATTTTGGTTAGTACTCTCAAACGCGCTGTGCTGATTGCTTGTTGAATTTTTAATCAAAGGTAACTTTTGGGCTACTATAGAAGGGGACTCGGTAAGCTAGGCTGATATGAGGCTGAGTTTACTTTTCCCCGAGGAGGGAATGGGGTGAGAGGGTCAAGGTTCAAGAGTTAAGGATCGCTACTGTATTCTCACCTGGGGGAGACAAAAAACACCCCTAATTGGCCTATCAAGGTCAATGTGACTGTGAAGAACTACAAGATAAAATGTGAGGAAGACCAAAAGAATGGTATTTGTATTTTATTTAAAACATGATGAAAATAATAATAATTAAAATATAAATAATGTAGGGCAAAGGCAGATTATTGGGCACACTGATCTAAACCTAGAGACTTGAACTGTAACACACCTTTTGTGCCATTTCTGCAAACAGATCTTGTTCAACTGTACAGTCAACCATACCTAAACACTGGTCTAAACATAAACACCGTAACATTCATCATGCTGCACTTTTGTATCAAATTATACACTCACCTAAAGGATTATTAGGAACACCATACTAATACTGTGTTTGACCCCCTTTCGCCTTCAGAACTGCCTTAATTCTATGTGGCATTGATTCAAAGAGGTGCTGAAAGCATTCTTTAGAAATGCACGAAGCTCCCGTTCCACCACATCCCAAAGATGCTCTATTGGGTTGAGGTCTGGTGACTGTGGGGGCCATTTTAGTACAGTGGACTCATTGTCATGTTCAAGAAACCAATTTGAAATGATTCGAGCTTTGTGACATGGTGCATTATCCTGCTGGAAGTAGCCATCAGAGGATGGGTACATGGTGGCCATAAAGAGATGGACAAGGTCAGAAACAATGCTCAGGTAGGCCGTGGCATTTAAACGATGCCCAATTGGCACTAAGGGGCCTAAAGTGTGCCAAGAAAACATCCCCCACACCATTACACCACCACCACCAGCCTGCACAGTGGTAACAAGGCATGATGGATCCATGTTCTCATTCTGTTTAATTCTGACTCTACCATCTGAATGTCTCAACAGAAATCGAGACTCATCAGACCAGGCAACATTTTTCCAGTCTTCAACTGTCCAATTTTGCTGAGCTCTTGCAAATTGTAGCCTCTTTTTCCTATTTGTAGTGGAGATGAGTGGTACCCGGTGGGGTCTTCTGCTGTTGTAGCCCATCCGCCTCAAGGTTGTGCGTGTTGTGGCTTCACAAATGCTTTGCTGCATACCTCGGTTGTAACGAGTGGTTATTTCAGTCAAAGTTTCTCTTTTATCAGCTTGAATCAGTCGGCCCATTCTCCTCTGACTTCTAGCATCAACAAGGCATTTTCGCCCACAGGACTGCCGCATACTGGATGTTTTTCCCTTTTCACACCATTCTTTGTAAACCCTAGAAATGGTTGTGCGTGAAAATCCCAGTAACTAAGCAGATTGTGAAATACTCAGACCGGTCCGTCTGGCACCAACAACCATGCCACGCTCAAAATTGCTTAAATCACCTTTCTTTCCCATTCTGACATTCAGCTTGGAGTTCAGGAGATTTTCTTGACCAGGACCACACCCCTAAATGCATTGAAGCAACTGCCATGCTATTGGTTGATTAGATAATTGCATTAATGAGAAATTGAACAGGTGTTCCTAATAATCCTTTAGGTGAGTGTATATTATATTATAACATAATTTACACCCTTGTTTCGTATGCAAGTACGAATAAATTCCTTATTCACCAGAAATTATACCCTCCTCTGAATAAAGCCACAGAGTAATTTCTTCTTCTGAGGTAAATTCAAGTTTATTCCTCACAGCGTGTCTTCCAAAAACAATGAAAATCATGATACAAAGTTTGATGCTTTGTTTATCGAGTTCAAAAGTAACGACACTCAAATTTATGTGGCTTTTAAGCAAAACAACGACCAGAGTTTGAGTGATTTAACCGCTTGTATGTCCTTAAATTTCCTAAATTTAAATGAGAGTAAGACTGGGGAAATTGTGTTTCGGGCCTCTAGCTGTTTCTGGCAACACATACCAAGTGTTGGGTAACCTGGCCTCATGTGTCAAGCCCTCTGTAAAAAATGTGTGTGTTGTTTTTGATTCTGCTTTGACCTTTGATGAGCAGGTAAATGCACTAGTTAAATATAGTTTCTTTCAGCTAAGACTCCTTGCTAAGGTTAAGAGCTTTTTAACGTTTGCTGAGTTCGAGAGGTATTAGCCAACCCTTTATAAATCGGTCAGGGCTGCAAAACTCAGATCCTGCGGAGTTTAGTTCCAACCCTGCTCTAACTCATATAAGGGGCTTTCACACCGGAGGCAGACTGATCTCATGTAATGGCGTATGTATGACACGCCAATTCGTATTTCCATTTTTGGCGTGCTATCAACACGCATAATCGCTTTTCAGCGTGTTTATCAACGCCTTTGACTTAACGTTATATTACTGTATTATGTATATATAAATATATGACCTACCCCAACCCCGTCCCTAAACCTACCCGTCACTGGGGTTAATACCATTTATGAGTCTTCTCCTACCATCCTAGGAAAAGAAATATCGCTCCACAGATGTAGATATAGATTTTGTTTCGTTTCGCTCGGACATTTAACGGCGTACACATACACGCGGAATCACTCGGACATTTAACTGCGTAGACATACACGCAAAAGATTTCGGCGTGGACATACACGCGGATAGCTCAAAATGCGTATAGATAACACGCCACTTGAATTGAAAGTGGCGTGTATGTTTACGCAAAGTCATGATGTCATGTTGCCGGAGGAATGTTTTCATAGTTCCTGTATCTATTGGTGGAAGTACCCGCTTTATGGTGTGTTCTCACCGTAGGAACTGGAAACAATTTTAGCTATAGGAACGCCTTTTGGGGGGGACTAAATTAGCTCCTATTTCAGAGTAGGATGATCTAACCAGCACAATAGGAACTACCAGTGCCGCAAGTGCACGTTGATTGGCAGAACGTATGCCAAACACTGGCACCTGCCATTTTTGGAAAGCCATGTAAACGCACAGCTGATTGCGTATAGGATCTTGCATACATGTTATTAGTTTTGATGTTTTACTTATCTAAATGTTTTGATGACTGTTGCTTTGTGGCATTAAACTGGGATTAACTTTTTTGTCTTTTTTCACCTTAGACCTGGTCCCGTTGAAAGAGGAGAGTCAAGATCTGAATGAAATGAAAGAGAAAGATCAGCGTAAGACACTTCACAATGTCATAACTGAAGAAAAATCTTTTAGTAGCTCTCAGACTGAAAAAGCTTCCTCACAAAAAAGGGCTCAAAAGACCGGGACTATGGGTAATTTCACCTGCCACCTGTGTGGACTAAGATTCAATAAGCCTGGAAAGCTTGAAGCCCACATGAGAGTTCACACTGGGAGGAAGCTTTACCCCTGCCAACAGTGTGGATTCATTTTCAACCAACAAGGAAACCTTAAAATCCATATGAGAATACACACTGGAGAGAAGCCTTACACCTGCTCTCAGTGTGGAAAGAGTTTCAATCGAAATGGAAACCTTAAAGACCACATGAGAATTCACACTGGAGAGAGCCCTTACACCTGCCAATGGTGTGGAAAGAGTTTCACTAAAAAAAAAAACCTCAATAACCACATGAGAGTTCACACTGGAGAGAAGCCTTTCACATGCCCCAGTGTGGAAAGAGTTTCAATCAAGACAGAAACCTTAAAGTCCACATGAGATTTCATTCTGGGGAGAAGTAGAATAAAGAAAAATAAACATTTGTACATTTCTGAAGTTGTTTAAATGTAAAATGTCCTTGATGTACGTTACTGTTTGTCCAAACGCAAGTATGCCAGACCGACTTTACATTCTAATACGCTCATGAGATCACGTTACACACATAACTTGTTACAGGGAGATCTATAAGTGATATGAATATGTTTATGCATGATGAATAGTTTAGACTTTAGATTAGGGGATGCAGAAACACAGAACTTTCAACACAGACCGGCTTAAAAGTTCACGATACATCAATAATATCATAATTATACACTCACCGGCCACTTTATTAGGTACACCTGTCCAACTGCTCGTTAACACTTAATTTCTAAGCAGCCAATCACATGGCGGCAACTCAGTGCATTTAGGCATGTAGACATGGTCAAGACAATCTCCTGCAGTTCAAACAGAGCATCAGTATGGGGAAGAAAGTTGATTTGAGTGACTTTGAACGTGGCATGATTGTTGGTGCCAGAAGGGCTGGTCTGAGTATTTCAGAAACTGCTAATCTACTGGGATTTTCACGCACAACCATCTCTAGGGTTTACAGAGAATGGTCCGAAAAAGAAAAAACATCCAGTGAGCGGCAGTTCTGTGGGCGGAAATGCCTTGTTGATGCCAGAGGTCAGAGGAGAATGGCCAGACTGGTTCGAGCTGATAGAAGGGCAACAGTGACTGAAATAACCACTCGTTACAACCGAGGTATGCAGCAAAGCATTTGTGAAGCCACAACACGCACAACCTTGAGGCGGATGGGCTACAACAGCAGAAGACTCCACCGGGTACCACTCATCTCCACTACAAATAGGAAAAAGAGGCTACAATTTGCAAGAGCTCACCAAAATTGAACAGTTGAAGACTGGAAAAATGTTGCCTGGTCTGATGAGTCTCGATTTCTGTTGAGACATTCAGATGTTAGAGTCAGAATTTGGCGTAAACAGAATTAGAACATGGAACCATCATGCCTTGTTACCACTGTGCAGGCTGGTGGTGGTGGTGTAATGGTGTGGGGGATGTTTTCCTGGCACACTTTAGGCCCCTTAGTGCCAATTGGGCATCGTTTAAATGCCACGGCCTACCTGAGCATTGTTTCTGACCATGTCCATCCCTTTATGGCCACCATGTACCCATCCTCTGATGGCTACTTCCACCATGTCACAAAGCTCTAATCATTTCAAATTGGTTTCTTGAACATGACAATGAGTTCACTGTACTAAAATGGCCTCCACAGTCACCAGATCTCAACCCAATAGAGCATCTTTGGGATGTGGTGGAACGGGAGATTCGCATCATGGATGTGCAGCCGACAAATCTGCGGCAACTGTGTGATGCCATCATGTCAATATGGACCAAACTCCCTGAGGAATGCTTCCAGCACCTTGTTGAATCTATGCCACGAAGAATTGAGGCAGTTCTGAAGGCAAAAGGGGGTCCAACCCGTTACTAGCATGGGGTACCTAATAAAGTGGCCGGTGAGTGTATAATTACAATCATCAATAATTATACATCAATTAATATACTGATCATTTACTTATGGTTTGTTCATGATTAACCATTGTTTGAGATAATAATGCTAAAAAAGTTTTGACTATTTTGATCTATGTTAATGAGGGTATACTTGTGTACATTGAAACACTCGGAGACATGTCGCAGTGTGTTGGTATAAATATTGTTTTCTCTCCTGTAATGTCTTTTTCTGTGATTGCACTGTGTAAACCACCATCTGCTAAAGAGTTTTTATGATCATCTTACTAATGCCCTTAAAAATTGTGAAGCAAAAGTAATGCTTTTGTTTTAATCTGAGATGTTTATTTGTTAGACAAAAGTAGAAAGAAATCAAAGTTACTGTTAAGCTTCAGTTGACAAAACATGAAACACATTATTGACTGTTATTGGATTATTTTAAACAGTCATATTCCTTTTATCTCTTTCCCTGCCAGTTATCAGTCAGCGCCAGCAAAACTTTAATGGAATATTTAGTTAAATAAAAATATAAGCGCTTTAATCACGATACTCATTTGACATTCTTCAAAAATATCATTCAGTTCTGTAGAGATGGACATTTAAATATGGATCAAATGACTGAGATCAGCTTTGAGAAAAAAAAACCTGTTTGTTCCTCAGTTTTTTTCTTGTTTCACACTGAATGTTTCTTCAATCTTCACGTCTTCACTCTCCTCTTTAATAAATGCCATCTTTATAAAAATGTCACGTGGATCTCAGTCGCTTCACCAGTTTTTCTGTGTTTGTTCGGTTTAAGATGAGAATTCACAAAAAGGAAAATAAAATATAACTAGTTCAATTCAGGGCAATTCCAGCGTTATGGACGTGACATTTGCTATATATAAATTCTCAGAAAATACATTTAATACCAATATTGTTACGGAACTGCTCAGAGACAAGACGTTGAGATCCAAATGCAGCTTTATTAGGGTTAATCCAGACACGTAATCCAAGAAACAGGCAATCGTCGAAACACAGGTAAGCAGTCCAAACGAACAAACATACAAACCAGGAAACACAGGCAGGGGTCAGAGGCAGGAGAATAATCCGAGGAACAGGCAGGGGTAGTGATGTGACATTTGAACCGAGGCATCGGAGCTTGTGTCGAGAAAAAATGGGCGTGCCAGATGAAGCTGCGATTCGAGGCTTGTGTTGTTAACGTGAAAATCACGTGACTGATGACAAACGAGGCCTCGGTTTGTGTGGATATGTCATTGGTTCGGTCTAAAGGCCAATTTATACTTCTGCGTCGAGTGTACGCCGTAGTGTACGGCGTAGGCTACGCACGTAGGCGACGCCGTCATGAGCATTTATACTTCTGCGTTTAGGTCTGCGTTGCTCTGCAGTACAGCGCCGAAACGCTAGTTGGCGGCGGAGGGTTTTAATGTTCCACTGTGTTTAGATTCCTCGCGGCAAGAAGAAGAAGATTCCTCGCGGCTGTTTTGAGTTTAGGTTACTACAAGCAATGGCGACTGAAAGAGAGCAGATCATGTTGGAGTTGGAGCTTATCGAGGTGGAAAAGGTAAATTTTTAGTTTTTTTAACAGTTTCGCTGTACTTAGAATTTAAAAATGGCGGGCGGTGCAGAAGAACACGCCGGAAATGCATAGGAGGAAACGCGATGCTACCAAGCCGACCAATCACAGATCTTGCGGTCCGCGTCGTCGCGACGTAGTTACATTTTTGAGGAGGTGCGCGTCAGGTTACGGCGAAGGGTACGGCGTATGGTATGCGTCTGTGCGTATGCTACGCCGTACCTACTGCGCGCACCCGACGCAGAAGTATAAATTGGCCTTAAGGGCCCTTACATAGTTAACGCATCGGTACGCATACGCGTGCGCAAGGCTACACATCGCTACGCTTCGGCCGCCATTATGCGTCGATGCGTAGCCAAATGTGTCATCCTAGTTTTTGATACGCGACGCGCCGATGCACGCAATACTATGCGTTGTCGGTGGGGGCGACATTGCAAGTAATGTACATAAAAAAGTATATTATTATGTTTACAGAAGAAGAAGATTTGAATACAATGGCGGGCGAAGAGGAAAAGTTATGCGAGCTTGTTCGTATACATCCTTTGTTGCCGCCGATGTAAAATCAGCAATATGCACTCCTCTTCAGTTGCCATTTTGATCTGAATATTACGTGACTCGACTCTAGACTCTACTACCCCCTGCTGCGCGATCGGTGTATTGCATTTCACGCATCGCCGGTGACGCTTGTGTACTATGAAAAGGAGCGCGTAGCTCGCGTCGCTCGCGTTGCTTGCTCGCGTTGCTCGCGTTGACTATGTAACGGCCCTAAGTGTCGTTTCTGGATAAAGGGGGCTCGAAACTCGCACCACCTTGTGGGTGTTGCAGGAGTAGTAAGCACTTGTAGCGTGTCAGAGAGTCAGAGTTAGAGAACTCTCATTGTCGTTATTGTGTCATATATGTGTTAGGGCTGTATATTATTACATTATATCAGGTTAGAATAGTTATTAATAATAATGAATAATTGTTATTATTAATTATAGTAGCTATATTATAGTATTGTTATATTAATTAGATAAGATTATTTGGATTGCTTTGGATTTTTGGTAGCTTAGATTTTTTGATCTGGACTGGACTGCTTTTTAATTTGGATTGCCCTTTTGGATTTGTTTGCTTTTTATGACATCTTCCTTTTTCATGGTAATGGAGCCAGCAAGAAAGAGGAAATCCTCCCCTGTCTGGGCTCAACAGAAGCATCAGTATCTTCATTTATACCCGCTGGCACTGACATTGTATGTTCCCCTGCATCCTCTGTTCCTTGTGAAAGGATATTTTTCCAAGGCTGGTGAGGTTTTGTCCAAGAAGAGGAATTGTCTTAACACCAACACACTTCAAAAAATTCATTTTCTCAATAAAAATCTATTGTAATCCTTCCTTCATCCACCCCAAACTGTGGTGTTTACTGCAGTTTACTTTATTACACTTCCTCGAGTCCCTCCACCATAAGCACTGCACTCAACACAGTCACTTTTGTTGTTCATACTGTCCCTATCCAATATTTTTTGGAATAATTAATTAACTGTGTGTGTGACAGTTGACTCTGTACAAGTAAATGCAGACAGAGAAATATACACGTTTTATTTCATACCCAGGCAATGGACAAATGTCTGCACAGATCTCTTTATTATTGCAAATGAAAGGTTACAGAGACATTAACTCATATTTAGAAGAAGATAAATAAATAAAACATTGCGGGAGGGGGGCGGGTCATTGGTTCAGAATGAATTAATTTGCCTGCAATTTCTTTGCACAGTAGCTAGGTGTCACTAGTGAGCAATGCTGAATGAAGCTTCGAGTAATGAACCTTTGGGTGAACCAATGGGCTGCGAGGTTTCAGTGGTTCAGGTAGCCTCATCTTGCCATCACTAGGCAGGGGATCCACTTGCACTGCTCGTGAACTGGAGTGCTTCTCATAAATAAAATGAAACTCGGCATATAAGCTACTTCACAGACATGAGAAATATATA